CCCCCCTGGCACCAGCCCCCATTCGGGGCACTACCAGGGGACCCCCGCAAATTGGGAGCAATTCGAAAGGAGGTGGATAATTTGCTTACAAAGGGCGTTATACACAGGATAGGGGTCCCGGCGTTAAGTTCGGGCTTCTACTCGCAAGTATTGGTGGTTCCAAAGACTACAACTGAGACTACAGGCGGCTGTGCCCCGTTCTGGACTTAAGCAGACTAAATCAGTATGAGCTTCCTGGAAACGCAGAGCACCATATTATTCTCTGTGCTCTGTTTCTACTGGTTAGCCTCGCTAGATTTGAGCGATACTTACCCGCACATACCAATACACCCAGTGAGTCAGCGACTCCCTCGATTCGCCCAGTTGGGCCAAGTAGTTGAGCGTGGGGTGCTCCCCTTCAGGTTTTGTATGGCTCCATACGTATTCACTAGAGTGTGGAAACCGGTGATGCTACTGCTGCACCGGTACACATCACATTGATACACATCATTGTGTACCTAGATGGCTGGTTGCTACACAACCCAACAAGGGGTGGTTAGTCAAACAGTAAGGCTAACACCAGATTTTCTAGACCCGTTGTGCTTCCTAGTAAATCGAGCAAGTTCCACCCTCAACCAACACAGTTGGTGTTCCTGGCCAGGGAGTTTGACACGGAGGTGGGCTTGGTATGGTCGCCGCAGGCCCGTTGCCTAAACGACCTAGCCAAACACCTAGTCAGCGTTCCCTCTGTGTCCTTCTGAGAACTAATTGGTTTGCAGGGTAGTTCCCCCAGGCTACGTTTCAGCACACTTTTGTTGCAACACCGGGCTCTCTTATGGGAACTGGAGAGGCGAGTAACACTCTTGGACTAAGCGAGGGATGCCTTGCCCTGGTGGTCGGCAATGGCCAACCTCAGGGAGGGGGTCTCCTTGGATCCACTCGCCACAGCTATGACTCTGAAAACGGATGCCTCCCTCACATGTTGGGGAGTACACCTATTGGACGAACAAGCTAAATGGAAAATATGGCCCCTGCATTAGATTCAGGACTGCCATATCAACTGGCTCGAACTGAAAGAAATGCGCTTAGCACCACTTCACTTTCTACCCATAGTTCGAGACCACAGAGTCTTGTGTCGCACGGACAACACAGTGGTGGTCTCCTATAGCTACAAGGAGGGGGGACGAGATCCCCATCGTTGTCAGTCCTAGCGGAGCAAATTCTCCTTTGGCACCTGGAATACAATGTGGAGCTGGCCGCACACCACCTTCCAGGGGCAAGAAACAGTCAAGTGGACGCCCTCTCGTGGCAGTTCCGTCTCCAGAACGCGGAGTGGCGGATATCCTCAATGGGTAACCTCCAGACTGTTTCGGCGATGGAATGGTCCAAGGTTAGACCTATTCACCACACCCCGGAACACCAAGCTCCCGACATACACAACACTCCTGGACCAGGGCCAGGGACACTTTGTCGAACCCTGTGGACCCACATGGACGTGTATGCCTTTCCTCCCCTCCAGCTATTTACCGGGTACTGGAAAAACTTTGATAGAAGCACATCTGCACTTTGACGCGGGTGGCGCCCAACGGGCCATGCAAGGTCAGGTTTCCACTACTGTTTGAAATGTTAGTCGAAACACCATGGGTGCTTCTGGACTTTCGGATCTGCTGTCCCAACTGGACGGCGCACTGCCTTTGAGCCAAGTGGTTTACCACTTGCACGCATCAAGGCTCCCAGTTGACTCACTCAGATTTTTTCTGAGTGGGCTGCCAACGTCCTGGCCAGGGCGAACAGGGATCCCACCAACACAGCCTAAGCCTCGGAATGACGTGCGTACACTGATTGGTTTAGTGGAAGGGAGATTCATGCCATCCCTTTGTTGGCCAGACAGCTGACTTTTCGTCCATCGTTTGAACGAAATGGACTTGTCCTTCCAACAATTGTTGACTATAGGTCAGCCTTGTCACCCACCATTTAAATTCTCTGGGGACAAGGCTAGCCGGTTGTCCTACCATTAGGAGACTGTTATACTGTTTAATCAGAGGCCTAGAACCTGAACAAGGGAACCAACCAGTTGGAACTTATCGGTTGTGTTGGCAGCTGTAAGCAGACTGCCCTTTGAGCCTCTACAATCAGCACCACTCAAACTTTTGACGTGGAAAACAGTCTTCCTACTCACCCTCGCCTCAGGTAGGCATCGGGCTGAACTAGGGGCCCTGTTTTTCTCGGACTGGTGTGTCGCCTTTATGGACAATCAAGTCGTGATAAAGACACGAATCGGGTTTCTTGCCAGAAAGCAAATTCCAGGACGCGATCCTACAACCGATCATTTCTGTAATGACTGACAAGGAGCCAGCATCTGAATTTCTCTTGAGGATAGTGAGATGCAACTGCTCCACAGACTGTTTCAGTCTCAGATGTACATGTAGAAAGCACAACTTTGAATGTTCTGCAGTTTGTGGTCAATGTCGAGGATCTGGATGCACAAATTTAGTTCAGATATCTGATGAAGATAGCGATGACGATTAGCAATTACATTAATCAAACAATAAACTTTTGGACTATATTATAACTATTTAATACAGTTTGTTAAATCAAAAATATAGTTTATAGAGTTGAAAATTAACGTTTAAATGGTCTATAATGTATATAGTATAGCGATTTATAGATCCAACCAAGGTGTTTCATTCCTCTAGTTTTTCTTTTAGATGGATGGCCATGTTGGATTTATCCAGATGAAGCATCCATCTACTCAGGAAACCATTTATTTACATATTTTCTGTACTGTACGATTCTGTTTAAAATTGTATTCTAGCATCTTAAACTTATTACTTATGCTACATAGAAGAGAAGCCGGAAGAGAAGTTACGATAAATAATTATATTATCGCGGCCATATTGGATTTATGCTTATTTTCATCTACCCAATCAACACATTGGCACTCTCATACCTTCTCCGACTCAAAACAGTACCATAACATCATGAATTTTTAAAATACCTCATCTAGAATTAAATATATGTTCAAATAGTTATATTTCCATGTTGTAAAAATTTGCAAAACGGCCATTTTGAATATATGCAAATTAGGTATATTTCGGAAGCCTAGATTTTCCTAGACTTTTAGTATGTCAATCTATATACCTTTCTGAAGAGAACTGTGAAGAAATTATTTCTGTTGCAATTTGCTAGAATGACTGGACTATACAGAACACAGCATTATTCCACAATGTACTGATCATTTGGGTATATGGCCATGGGTATTCATAGTATTCAACCCACTCACTTGGGTTTGGAGCACCACGGAGGGCGCAACTCATGATTCGACAGGCAAAGCCGAACGATGTACGCAGTATATTATTACTAGTATAATTGATTTCACGTTTATTTCAACACCGCCCGTGCAATCGACTGAGCTTATGTGAACATGTTACTGCGACAATAATCATAACTTTATTAGACACTAACTTTATTAAAACACGACATTAACTTATTACGATATTCCCTCTCGGAGGATGTGATGGCCCTGAAAAGGGCCGTTTTGTTTGGATGCATTATGTGCATTATTACTTTTTAGTCACTTTCTTAGCGACTGACTTCTTTGGCTTCGCCGTCTTTTTGGGAATTTTCTTCGTAATGGCTTTCTTTGTTGTTGCTTTCTTAGCGTTTGGTTTCGGTGACTTTTCAGCCTTCTTGATCTTTTTGGATCTAGCAAATTTGGGTTTCTTTGTCTTCACCTTGTCTTTCGGCTTCTTGTCTTTCTTTTGGGTCTTCGGACGCAATTTTTAAGGCGCCGTTCGTATATTGATCGAATGTCTGCTTTTTTTAATTAATTTTCTCCTATTCGCCAGTATACTTTAAATTTATATGGGTTTGGGGAATATTATGTGAAATATTTGATGGTCTGAATTGGCCGAATTTCCGCTTGATTTTGTGCTCGAATTTCATTTGTTAATGCATTTGAATGGTACTCAGTCACACCGGTATGCTCAATGTCTTCAAGTATCTTCTGTGACAAATACTGTAAAAACATTTATTTTCACTGTTCTTTCATTTCATTACTTTGATAGTCAAACCTCGGTTTTAAGTTCACAAACTTGGAAACAATGAGCTCTATTGTTATTATATACGTTCATGCGAATTTTACTTACTACAATGTAGTATCAACGATATTGTGAAATTATAAACCGTCGAAAAATAAATGCGTTTACAATACTTGTTTTCTGGTTCAATGCGAGATCTCGCGTATTGCGTGAACGGCGCAGCCCAAACGTTATTTAACGTGTGATTTAACGCATACCGCGGGATCTCGAAATGAACTGACGGAAAATGGCGTATTTCAGCTGACCGCAGCATTACCATTTTAACAAATATGAATAGTATGTATCTTGTAGCTACCTTCCCATATAATGGATCGTTATGTAATACACATTTTTAAGACAAGAACACAGTGATTTGTAATGGTATAACTCTTCTTGAGGGTGTTTTGGCCCTGAAAAGGGCCGTTTGGTTTGATCTTGAAGTATAGGGATTTTACTGGAGAGGGTACTGCTCAGAAATGTCCCGAATGATTTTAATAACTGCCTCATCATCGGTTTTTCCATACAGATCCCTCCACTTAAATTCGTGCAAATAGCCTGGTAACATATTCTTAGGAACTCCCTTCATTCTCTTCAGCTTCCCCTTGGCCTTATTGATAACTTTCATCTGGACCGACCATCTCTGTGTCTTCATTCTTTAGCTTAGTGCTGCAGACTTCACGTAAACAGGTGCAATAATTGACAAGTGATTGACGAGAAACTCCAGTCTCAGCACTGATCTTCTTTGTCGGTAGTCCATAGCCCATTTTAAAATTATTTTCAAAAGAACGTCCAAACGTAAACGTGACTTGGAAAAAAAGAACCATGTCTAATTGAGAATCGGTTTCGAAATTTTTCGCAATCCCTATTTAAACATCGCCATTTGGGTATATGGCCATGGGTATTCATAGTATTCAACCCACTCACTTGGGTTTGGAGCACCGCAGAGGGCGCAACTCACGATTCGACAGGCAAAGCCGAACGATG